CCTAAACCCTAAACCGATTGGGGCTTCAAAGGAGTCTTCGGCCCGAAACGACGAAGCCTCGATCCGAGCCTTCTACACTCGACCCGGCTCACACGAACCCGACGCCCCCAAGGCCCTATCTGTTGACCTCATTTTCAAACCCACCCCCCTTAAAGCAAAAACCCAACCCTGTCGTCACATCTGGCGGCTTCCCCAGAATTTAAGTAAAATCTGCTGAAGAAGTAAACATGAAGTAGCCTCAATCATTAAGAGTAATGTATAGGGAACCTCAGCACTAACTGTCCCTAATGCGATTTCCAACTTTTGGGGGTTTACTATAACCCCCTATGAAACCATCTCATACCTCCAGGAACCTTCTTAGATCCTTCCAATAAGCGGCCTTAATCATTGGAATAGGGTTGTGGCTACCCTGTCGTATAACTAAAAGAAGGAATCCTGAGAACTATAGTTCTTAACCATATTCCTGCGTCGCTATCATCATGTCGCACAAAATCCTATGAGATCCTTCTGACAGCGAGGCACTTCCTTGACTCCCCTGAAGGCAATGTGGAGGAAATGGCCCCCCGGCAGTGAAAAAGCTGCAGTGGTCGTGCGGGTGGTAGTCCTAAGAATTTAGCGCGTTGATGCTTTTGGGGTATGGTTTTGTTTAAAATGCACTGGCCTATGAGGTTTAGGGCTCAGGGTTCTAGGGTCTAGGGCTTTAGGCATTTGGGGCTTTGGTGCTTGATGGCGCCTGTGTTCGCCTCCAAAACCAGCACAAAAGCCATGAGCCCAGCCACACCATTTAGGAATCAAAAGCCGGCTCCTAGCTGTGTGTGTCAACGTATTGAAGGAAGACTTAGGCTTTATAGGGGTTTGACTAGGGTTTAAGGCTGAATTGTGGATTGGAGTTTTATTGGGGTTTAGGGCTGAATCAGGGTTTAGGGTTTAAGTGGGGTTAAAGCGTTTGACATGGGCAAAAGCCTCCCGAAAGTCCGAAACCCTGAACCCGAAGCACGACCTGCAGCCTCAAACCACACAACAAAGTGACGTATGATCCCATGATTATGACTGGTTATCCATGTTTTGAGACAGCCGTAATAGCCAATACAATCTAATGACATTTTGCTGCAACCGCCAACACGAGAACCAAAATCACGCAATAACATCAAACACACCGCATACCCCAATCCCCACATCCACCCGCAAGCACCATAAGTTCGATCAACCTAAGGCATGCCAGTCGGGAATATAGATGTCTCAAAAGCCTCTGTTGGATTAAGGCTTATAGAACCGTGACTGGAACAGGGTGGGGTACAATGATGGTCGCCATCTCCGCGACATAGCGTGGCTCTCGCTAACTGATTGTAATGCTGAACATATAAGCCGTGGAAGCAGCAAACTGATGGCAAAAGATCCAAGACCTGTTAGCCCCAACCCCACAGCCTAAACCCTGAAACCTGACACCCTAAACGCCCGAAAACCCTAGACCCCCAACTCGGCTAGAAGACATCGAATGCTGCAAAGGCTCGCGAGTGGCACAAATAGTCGCTCCGACGCTGACTGCGCTGTCCTCACAGTGCAGAGGTGAGGTTGGACATTTTGGAATGTTTTTGAGCATTACCGTGTTTCGCGCAGAACCGTCACTGCGGTAGATCTTGGCGGGGGGGGGGCGAGCATGCATATCCACACACGCACACACACACACACACACATATATATATATATATATGACCATACGTGTGTATATATATATATATATGTTGTATTTACTGTAAGCTTCAACTAACTAGTTTCTCTGTTTACATTCTACTTGTTCATTCCAGGCATCTAAAAGCCGGAACCCTGGCATCTCCAATTCTTGAGAAGGACAAGAGATCCGGTCTTCCCGAACTCCTGCCTTTACAATCAACTCGGGGGGGGGGGGGGGGGGGG